CACACACACACACACTCACACACACACTTCTACAACAGATGGAATAATCCTTGAGCAGGTTACAGAGCACAAATACCAGGGAATCTGTATGGTTAGACAGTTCATCATCCTGTCACCACATTACCACGTTGCAAACTAGAGTCAAAGCAAAATTTGGCACTGCTCATCTTTTACATCCTCAGCCAAAAGACTCATTGTTGAAATGTGTATTCTTCCTTTATTTGATTATGGTGAAATATTTATTGCCATGCTTACAAAGGAAGTCTTTAAAAATTGGATACAATCTATCTTTTCACCATTTGTTTTATTACTAATATCTCTTATAAAATGTCGTGGCAATCAGTTGCAAAACATATCGCTGTCCGTCACACTCTCAGGTTAATTGGCTTGTTCTGCAGTCTTGTCATAATACCCACTGGCTCTTGTTTATTTATAAAACTCAAGTCTTTCACCTTCTTATTTATATCAGTCACTACAAGGTCCACTCAAGTTACAATACCGATTCTACCCAACTTATTAAACTGAAAATCCCTAAAACCAAGTCTTATTTTGGCTTCATGTCTTTTTGTTTTGCAGCTGCAAATGACTGGAACTTTTATCAAAATACACTACATCTCAAAACTTTGATATTATTTCTTGGTTTTAGACACAGACTGGCTAACTAGAATTTAAAAGTACCAAAATGGACCTTTTCAAGAAGGTTTTTGCAGAATGAATGCATTGCTCACTGTATGTTAGTTGCCTTTTCCCCATCTTCCCCTTTTAAGTGTTTCAACACTTTCAGGCTAACATTGTAAATAAAGAACTGTTCCTAATGTTTTGCATGGTGAAATAAAGTTTTATGTATTTGTTTTCCAGCTGACCCCTGTCCTGCTGACACCAAAGACTATACAGTTGCCATTGCTGTGGGCGTGACACTGCTGGTGCTGGTTATCATTGTGGTGGTGGTCTACCTGCTAAGCCGCAGAAGAAGAACGACTGGTTACCAGTCTCTGTGAGAACGTCCAACAGAAAAGTCTCACAACTTATCAGCGAGATGTGGATKTTATAGGGGCACTGAGACCTGTGGGATATTCTGACCTCAAACGTTTCTTTGATCRACATTTATAAAGCAGATTTAAAACTGGGTACATATTAGATTCTTAGATACAAATGGAAACATTTTTCTCTCAACAAAGACAAACTTATGAAATTGAATTTTGTTTAATTATCCCTATAGTATCCAGTGTTCAGAAACTTACAGGCACAATCATATTAATAAAGAGAGAGAGAGAGAGAGAGAGAGAGAGAGAGAGAGAGAGAGAGAGAGAG